ACCCACTGCGGGGGAGGGGGGGGAGCAGGGCTGCCGTGTGCAGGACCCTGCTACCTCGGGACCCATCCCCGGGACCCCCCCACACCCCAGGACACACCCCACCTGGGGATTGCCGTGGTTGCGGACGTCGAGCTGGGCGAAGGAGCAGATGTCGCCTACCCCCACCACCTCCACCGTGAAGTTGCGGAAGAAGTCGACGATGTCCAGGGCGCGGGCGGGCAGGGCGAAGATGAGGATGAGGGGGGTGAGGATGGGGCTCAGCAGCTCCTCCAGGATGAAGACCTGCGTGAAGGCAGGGGGTCAGGGGCGGTGGGTGGGGGGGGGGGGGGCCCGCCACCCACCCTCCTGGCCCTGCCTGCGCTCACCGCCTTGTACTGGAAGAGCTGCGCCATCTCGCCACGTGTCTCTGACCGGCTGGCGTTGCCCTGCCAGTGGTCGGGCATGTAGTGGACGTGGGCCAGGACACGCTGCAGCAGCTGCTCCGGGCACCACACCGTGTGCTCATCGGGGATGAAGGACCTGCGGGCGGGGGGCAGGTGTCCCACCTCCCGCTCAGCCACCCCGCCACCCACTGTGCCAGCCAACGGCACGGCACGGCACGGCACACCCACCTGGCCAGGGTGACCACCAGCCCCAGCAGTGTGATGGCAGTGAGGATGTGCTGCACCGTCAGCACGTCCTCATCGTAGACGGTCAGGACGATTAGCACGGCCAGGATGGAGCCGGCGAAGAAGCCGACATTCTTGGCCAGCACGGTGAGCAGCGGGCTGGTGAAGGAGTTCATGTACTTGGTGGCCGGCTTGTAGCCACGGCTCAGCCGCGCCTGCAGCTCGTGGTTGAGCTCATTGAAGTGGCGCAGGTAGTGGCGGCCGTAGAGGGACCAGCGGCGGGCGCCCAGGCTGCCCGGCTCCCGCTTGATCACCTCGGCGTAGCTGAAGAAGGCGTAGAGGAGCTGCCAGACCAGCACACAGGGGCAGAGCAGCAGGTTGGCCAGACCCAGCAGCACCATGGTGCGCGCCAGGCGCCGGGCCAGCTCCCGCCGGGCACCTGCCCGCTTGCACTGCGGCCGCAGGCTCCACTTGTTCTGGAAGAGGGAGCCGGGGCCCCAGAAGAGGAGCAGCTCCAGGTTGTACTTGAGGCCCTGGGTGAGGAAGACGGTGGGGCCCAGCAGCGGCACGTGGAAGCGGACGGGCAGCAGCGACTTGTTGACCATGGCCACCGTGTAGTTCTTGAAGCGCAGGATGCGGTGGTAGATGTCCAGCTCCGTCAGCTCCCTCTTGTGCACGCACATCTGCTGCCGGCGCTGCAGCGAGATCAGCCGTGCCTGCACCTCCTGCCAGCTGTAGTTGCACAGCCCCTCCTGCACCAACGACATGCCAATCTATGCCAGCACGGCACAGCATGGCTCGGCACGGCATGGCACAGCATGGCCGGCCCCCGCCCCGCCAGCCCCCTCCCCATGGCACCACTCACCGAGGGGATATTGAGGGCTTTGATGTAGAAGGCGCGGATCTCCCAGTAGCTGAGCAGGCTGCAGAGCACCTTCACCAGCCGGTACAGCCAGAAGACGGCCGCCATCACCAGCAGGAAGATGACCCAGCCTCTGGCCCGGATCCTGGCAGGGGACGCGTGTCAGGAGGGGACCCGGCAGTGCTGGGACCCCTTGCATGGCCGTGCCGGTGGCTCCCCGCCCCCTCCTCACCTCTGGGCGCACTGTGGGGCGGGCAGGATGGCGTCGGGCAGCGTCACCTTGCTGCGGTCGGGGGCCGCCCCCCCGGTGTGGCTGTGGTTGAGCGGTCGGTTGGCAAAGAGGACGTCGTACTCCACACAGCACAGCAGGAAGGTGGTGAAGGTGACGACGAACAGGAACTGCCTGGGGGCGGCGGGGGATCAGCACAGCTCCTCGCTCCGTGGCCGCCTGGCGCGGCGCGGCACGGCATGGCACAGCACGGTGCGGCATGGCAGGTGGGGGTGGGCATACCACCGGTACTTACACCAGCTCGAAGAGGTCAGAGAGCATCATGCAGGCGAAGCCGTTCTTCTGGTGGAAGTGGTAGATGTTGGGGGTGCGTTAAGGAGCATGTGCCCGTGGTGCCGGACCCCCTGCCCCCCCTCGGCACCGGGGTCCCCCCACCCCCCCCGGCACGGTGCCTGCCGCAGGCAGGGCTGGGCAGCAGCCAGCCCCCCACCCCCCACCCCCCACCCCCCAGCCCGCCTGTCCCCCTATCCACAGCAGTGTGGGGACGTTCCTTCC